CATTACAGGTATCCTAACCCAATCATTAGTAACAGTTGTCATAATACAAATATTACATAGGTGATTATCCAAATTTTTACCATCAATGGGATTTGAACACCCAATCTACCACTTGGGGGGTTGACAACCTGACCACTTCACTAGGTTACCACACCTCTTTTTACTAAATATTATAATTAAAAATATCTTCTAAATAATATATAATTATACAAATTTATACAAATTATTAATTATATTTAATATAATGTATTTTTAAATTTTTTTTTGTTAATATATTCAAAGATATTATATTCTTTTCAAAAATTAATAAAAGATTATATTAAATTCTTATAAACTAGATGTAAACTAATTTAAACTTGACAAAATTTAAATAATTAGAAGTAGATTCGTTTGAACTATAATTAATTTTAAGTGAATTTAAAATAACTTATTTGTCTCAAAATGAATTTTAATGAACAAAGATAGACTTATTTGAATTTAGATTAGTTTTAAATTAACTTAAGTTGAGTTTAAATAATCCTAGTATATGTTTATTTGTATTTAGATTAAGTTCAAATAAGTTAATAAATAATTCTTTTGAATCTATATTAGGTTTAATAAACTTGAAATGACTTATTTAAACTCTTGTTATTTTTAAATAAATATAGAATAGATTTATTTGAATTCAAATTAGATTCAAATAAATCTAAAAAATGTTATATAAACTGAACTAAATTTAAATAAATTTAGTATACAAATTAAATTTTATAATGTAAAATAATTTGAATATATTAGTATAATATAATAATTTTAAAAGTTATTTTAAAATATTTTGAAATATTTTGTATATTATAAAAATTTAAAAACTTATTTTGAAATTATTACACTGTATAAAATCTTTTAAAATATTTTATATTTATAATTTTACTAATATAATTGTTAAATTATTTAAATTTTTAAAATGATTTCTAAGATATAAAAAAAAATTAAAAATTATTAAATTATTTATGTTACAATGCAAATATTATAAAAATAAAAATTAATTATTATATTTTTATATTTTTTTTCTAAACCTTTTAAATTAGATAGATTTTACAGATTATTGTTAAAAGTTTTAACAATAATTTATTATATATTTTAAAATTTTTAGTATTTTTTTTTAATGAATTATACTATATAATTTTTTATCATATTTATTCTTATTATTATTCTTATTAGTTAAATATATAGGTTTAAAAAAAATAAAATAAGACTGATTAAAATTAGACTTCATAATATTACTTTTATATATATTTAATTTTTAAGTTTTTGTTAGAATATAACAATTTAATAAAATAGATAAATTTTATTCTTTCAAATAATAGACTGTAAATTTAAAATTCACCAGTAATAAAAATTAAAAAATTTATCTATGTTATGGTAATTATTTTTTATTAATTAGTTAAGATAAGATACTTATTATAATTATATCAGTATAATTGACAAGTTGTAAACATCTGTATAATCAAATTATACAGAAGAATGCAATTGGTAATAAGCAATGCAAACCCAAAATAAGTTCTTATAATCATATAAATCTATAGAACTGAAAAAACAAAAACCCATTTAGAAAGATCTAAATAGAAAGATAATACAGATCTTTGATAATATTACTATAAAGACTAAATTCAAAAAACAAATAACAATATAGAGGAATTAGGTAGGTAAAAACCTTAGATGAAGGATGTAAAACAACTTACTCTTATAAGAGAGATGCAAGAGAGACTGGTTGGACATGAATATAATGTGATATCAGTACACATCCGGTAGGAATACTTTATTATACACTTTTAACATTGATATTGTTTTTATGTGCCAAAGCTAAATACTTCAAGCATTAATTCAAAAGTTTATTTAAAAAATAAATGATTATTAACGAACTATTATTTTAACTTTTATAATTTGCAAAATTCCTTTTTAAAAGAACTAAATATATCATTTGGATAACTTATTTATATGCTCTAATTTTTTAGTTTACTTTTTGTGACGTAACATTTTAATAATAATAAAAAAAATTGTGAAAGCCATTTCTAGCTTTGAGATAACGTATATCTTAGCTATATAAAACTAAACGATCCTAGAAGTTCACTTAGATATTCGTATCTACATACATATGATGTTATGATGTTATGATTTAAATCTAATGAGATAATTAAAATACATTAAGTACCAAGCGAGTGAAAAGCTCCCGATGATTCTTTTTTGATCATCGATTTAATATTTATGCCATTATTTTGTAGATATAATAAATAATAATAAATTTGATATTAACAGAAATATTTATTCAAGATTTGTTAATTTAAATATAAATGCATAAATTTTTATTAAAATCTGTTATATGATGTACTAACACGATACAAATTATTGCACTCAAGCGCCTAGTATTACACTAATAATTCTCCCTTACCAATAGCAAGTATTACACTTATAATTTTTCTTTACCATAACAAATCATCTCGAAAACACCTAACGATAACCGATAAACGTTAGGAAATTTTAGTTAGGGTGAATATCGATATCCAGCCGCAGGGGCGATTATCTAAAGAAAAAAATCGATAATAGATAGATATTAGTTGTTAATCGATTAAAAAATAATCGATTATAATAATTTATTAATGCTCACTCAGGTGGTTACAACCGATTGAATTTCAATCGATATTACGATTTTTTCAATTTGCATCGACTATAATAATCGATAAAAATCTCCATCGACAGGAAAATTTCCCGATGAAGAACAACGATTAACCGCCAATCTACCTCTAGCCGACACCAACTATATATCAGGCAACCTATAATCATGGCTCAAATTTACGAGGCACAACGAAGAATTATTGGTTTTATGATTATAAATATATATTTTGCAATTAAATTTAATCACATATTGTTTTAGCGAGCAGCTACTTAATTTATTAAATTTTAAAGGCTTATTACTGACATAATATCAAAAATCGATTGAATCCAAAGTAATTTTTATAACATTTATCTGTATCTTGAATACATGAATTACATTTCATAATAGCTAGACACTAGATTGGCATTTGTAAACCTTTTCATTTTAATAACTGCATATATTTTCCTTCTCAAGTTCAACGTAATTATTTATTTCGAAGTTACAGTAAAAAGTATTCGATTATAGCAATAACGATAATAATGAGTGATGTTGGAGTAGGGTTATGAATAGTAACACTCTTAATTATTTTTATCAAAATTTTTATGTTTGATTCTTGATATAAAAAATTGGTTTGCGCGAGATTGACGTTATATGATATCGTCATTTTTCATGACTTAAATATAGGAATTGAGTGATTTTGGCGCTACGGTACCAATGAGACAAATTAACTAGTCACCGATTGATCAACTAACTATAATAGTTAATTGTGTCATAATAATACGTTAAAGTCTGTAATTTTTATCCATCGTCTTGAGAATTGTTCTCAAGTGAGGCTGGGTGTGATTACTAAGGATCTACACTCAAAAAGAGGAAGAATTTGATTTTTACGTATATCATGCTGACATTTCTATCTTACTAACATTCTAATACTAAATCTCTATTTTACAAAAGAGTTTCCATATAATATGCTTTATCAGTCTCACTGGAACTAGAAATGATTGGAAATATAAGTTATTTTTTAGGCTGATATATTAAGTTACGAAGCATAAAATGCTGTATTTAACAATTAGATCATTATCATTATATATATATCTAATTTTAGAATACACTCTAAAAGAGGTTATTTTAGGTACTGTACATTATGGACTTAGAATCTATTTGCGAACAGTTATAATTTGACTTCTCACTGTCGCTATGGGCTATACATCAAATTATATATCATCGTGTAAACTTATGGTTCGAATAATAATAACGAATGAATCAAGCTTTTTACCCATTGCTAACACCGAAAAGAAAAGGAAAAAGGAGTAAAATTAATACAGTTTGTTATTGAGATTAATTCTTCTTGCCAGAAAGTATAAATTCGAGGTATATTCGCAACAAAAAATTTTCATTCTTTTCTGAATCAAATAGAAGTTTCAAATATTTGACCCAGAAAATTTCCTTTATTTTTTTAAAAAAATGGCGCGATTCCTTATTAAGTTGTTTATAATTTCCGTCTTCATTTCGTTTGTTCTTAGTGTTCCTACTAGTGAAAAAAATGAAAAAGCCCCACTTATGCAAGATCATCTAAAACCACCGGGTTTGGTCCCCGAATCTCAAAAAAATGAGAAAGCACCACTTACTCAAGATCATCTAAAATCGCCGCCGGTTTTGGTCCCCGAATCTCAAAAAAATGAAAAAGCACCACTTACTCAAGATCAGAAAAATATACCCCCACCTGTGGCCTCTGATCCTCAAACAACACCAATTACAAATCCTCAAAGTAATGACATAATACCCATTACCTTCTTTTTTTTCCATAGTTTATAATAAAATTAATGTTATTTTCCAACATTGAATTTAGGTGATGATATTGAGCAAACGGAAATGAAAGAAGATACTGATGAAACTGGAGAAAGTGATGTATCTGAAGGTCGTGAATTGATATCCGATCCTCTCTTACGTTCTAACTTGGAAAGTCTCGTGTCACCATCATCTTCTGAAACTCTTGACCCCAGCGAATTTATTAGAGTTCACCAAGTTCGCGATACTCTTGATAACATCGTCTCTACTTCTGACCTCTTCCATTTCCCTGAAGGACCTAAAAAATACCGTGTTGTCGTTCTCCCTAAAGGCAAAGCTTTACACTTTGTGTATAAGGTTATAGTGTTCCCTAAGAGTAAATATGCTCACCCTAAAGTTTTCAAGTTAGTTATTATACCCGGTAAAATTACGAGACTTGGCAGAAAAGTCACGTTCATTGTAATTCCTAAAGATGCACCTGGAAGTTGGAAACAATATGTAATTTTTATTCCCCATAAGCATTAATTAAATATAGTACAAAATGACCTAGTTAACTTAAATATATATGACATAGAATATTCGTGTCTCTATATATAATAATAGAATTATTTTTTTAAAAAAGTTAACAATATAAGAATTATAAAATATTATGTATTAACATAAAAGTAATGCCCAGGTTTTGGGAATCCAGTACTTGCAAATTTTTTCTTGTCATGGTTTCTATCAATTAATAAATAGAAATGTATTTTTAAAGAACGTTTATATAAAATTTTGACTTGCCAATTTCTTCTCTGGTAAACGTACATGTATATATATTTACAACTGTTTTCATAAATACTGGGCAAAATTAAAACTTTACTCGTTACTCAAAGTTGTCCTGTTATAATTCTCTAATTAAATGTACAATAAATATAACGAACACAATCTTCAACTTTTATATTTAAATTAGCCTCGATATAATGGAACCATTGGCCAATTTATATATGACGAGGTTTTGAAATTCGGTATTAATAGCCGACACCTTCATGATATCGAGATTATGCTATATATTTATTGTCATGATATTATGATTCTAATCTCTCGGATTACCATAACTTATTGCTAGCAGTGTTGTATTAGGACAGATTTGAGGCAAAATTGAGGTTTTAAAAAAAAATGTCAATAACACAACATTTTACTAAGATAACTTTTTTTTATTTCCTAAATACACATCCCGAGACAGAATGGACCAAAAAGGCTTGTGATATTCAAAATGTACATACAACACTGGGCATAGGAACTATTGCTATGTTTTAATAGCGATAGTACGTACGCACCATTTTAAGGATCGATACGTATGCATCATAAATGCCTCCCATTAATATATCAGACATGAGCTAAATAAGATTAGTTTTTTTTTATTGATGCCTCAGTAAACAAATATTGGCTGAATGTAATATATTGATGCAGAACAAAGTTAAAAAACGAAGACAGATAACTTTATTATTTATAATTACGGTCCTTGACAAATTATCGGCAATGCTTCAAAATGGCTTTACATAAGAGCGCATTTGCAACAAATATTATTTAAGAACTTTTATTTAATATAAAGTTAAAGGATTGTTTAAATTAACGCGTTCGTTGTCTTGAATGAAGGTATCAAAATCTCAATTTAAGATTATTATGCAACGACGAGAAAAAAAAAATAGGTTTAACAAACACTTTGCTAAAGTTTGTCCTAATTTAAGATCGACTAAAGATTTTTATTCTAATTTAAGGTCGTCGTACAATGGAGGAAAAACAAATCAAAAGTTTTAACAGTTCGCTATAGATTGTTATATAATCTTGTCTTAATTTAAGATCGTACATACAATAGACGAAGAAACAAAGGATCAAAGTTTGTTATTAATAGGAAGAATAAAATCTATATTCAACATTAATCTCAATTTTCCTATATAAACGACCTTTCAAAATCCTTCCTTATCTCAACACAACCAATTTCATTTCTTAAGCATTTAAATAACTTTTCTATTCTCTTACATGCAAAAAAGAACAAACCCTTTGCTTTTTTAAACAACGATCAAGAAAATAAAATGAAGTTAAATATCGCTACAGCATGTTTGGTTCTTTTCCTCTCTACCTCTACCATACTTACGGTTCCATCTCGAAAAGGTATAAATTGTTTTACTAAATAATGCTTATTTATAATTTAGCATACATTTAACTCGTTTAATCGAATTCTGATATTTATAATAGTATATAATGCTAGAACAAAATATGGAAAAGAACTACTTTGTAATCTTTTTTTTAAATCAAATTTAAATGGTTTATATTTTAATCTCACCGATTTATGTACGGATATAATTTTTATTTAAAAGATAAAGATGATGGGGGAGGAAGGCTACGGTTATGCCAATAAAGTTTACAACTATGGTCAAAGTGAAGGTAAAAATAAAAATCATGGTGAAGAATACGATGATGACTGTAAAGATTGTAAAGGTGGTATGAATAAAAAGGGTGAAGGTGAAGATTGTGAAGATTATAAGGTGGTACGAATAAAATGTTTGATATAGGCGAAGATTGTGAAGATTGTAAGAATGGTATGAATAACAAGTGTAGTGAAACTTTTAGTAGCCTGACTGCCACCTACGGATGTGTCATGTAAAATGGATGAGATCTTAGGATGTATATAATTAACAAATTAATAAGATTTGTTCGTTAATTTAGTTGAGTTGATTGACTTGGAAAATAAACCAATTTTATTATATAATATTTGTATATTCAAGCTTTAAATACAGTAATAAAAACTAGTTCTTTTATATATCTAATATCTTGGTTTTATATATAATTTAAATTGTATCAGGCTATTTAAAAAGTTCAACAAGCTTCGTACACTCAGTTTTACAATTACAAATAATGGTTTCAAGTTTTTTTCTAATTTCAGAATTCATTTCTTTATAGTCTTTCATGTTTTCATCTATATCCGGCTGAACCTCTGATAATTTCACACTCAGGTTATTTAATTGATGCGAAATAGTCCTATAACGTTTAATACATGCTTCCTTTTTGCTAGCTATAATATCCAGATATTCCTGGACTTACACCTAAGGCTCCCGCAACTGCTGCGACTTTTCCAGCTGCTTTCTATAGATAAAATTAATTTTAATGAGTTTGTTTTAAAAGAAAACCAGATGTATTATATAAAGCTACCATATTTGAGGAAAGGTTAATGCTGGAAAGTGCAAGACCGCCCGAAAGCACCAAACTAGAAATTCTAAATTCAATGATAGAATAATTTTATCACAAATTAATATGCAGAATACTTCATATCAGATATTTAATACTTACGCTATACCCCACATAACTTGATTACTAAACTCCTCCTTTTGTGTTTCTAACTTACAAGTAATATCAAAGCATAATTTCGTCATTGTTTTGAAGAGGTCTACAAATTTAGAATATTAAGGAAAGTGTTAAAGATACTTTAATGAAGATAAATATACTTTTAAATTCATTGAATTTTATATAAACTAAAATATTGTATTAAGAACTGTAAGCTTAAAATTAATATTTAAAGAGTTCATCAAAAAATTGTAGATAATTTTTTTGATTAAAAATTTTTTCTAAATTTGTCTATTTTTAGCTTATAAGTAACATATATTTTTTTTCTTATAATATAAAATTAAATACTGCTATAATATAATCCTTATTTTTAAATATTATCAAATAAAATTTTATTTAAGTATTTTAAAATTTAAAAAATATAGATCATAAGCATATTTTTACTAATTTTCTAGACAAATTTGCCTGGAAAAGCTTACAGATTAAAGGATAATATTAAATTATAAAACCTTTTAATAAATATTTTTTTAAATTTGAATATATAACTATCATTATATCAATAATGCATATATAAAATTATTATCACTTTTAATATTATATCATTATATATTTATAATTATCATTTAAATATCAGTATAAACAATATTGATCAAGTAAATTTATATAATTAATAGAATATTTTTATATATTTTATAATATTAGAAAATTTTAGTTTTGTATTTAAAAATAAATTTAAAATTAAAATAATTAGCAAAATATCATCTGTAAAATTATTATATCTTTGATATATTAGTTAATAAAAATAGTAAACTAAATTAATCAATAAAAAGTTTTCTTAGTATTAAATTTAAATAATAAAATTTTATTTATAATATAATATATTTTAACATTTTATTATATTATTAAATATTGGTATATATTATCATTAATATTCAATATATTATTCTAGTTTTATAAATATATTTGATACTTTTATAATTATATTTATATCTTCTTGTTATTTATATAATCATTGGGTAAAAAACTGAAAAGCAACTCTTTTCATAGATCACTTATACCAAAACTACAAAAAATATTTGATCATTTCTCTACTTTTTATTAAATAAACCTTACTTAATCTCTTAAGTAAAGTTGTTTAGCACACTTTTCTCCTCCTAGGCAGCTAAGTTTTATTTACCAATAATACTTGGTTGCTGAGAAAAGTTCTAAAAACCAAGTTTTTGGTTTTTGTTTGTTTATATATAATTTTACTAATTACCTAATTTAATTACTATTCAAAAGTTGTTCAACTCACTGAGATGGACATTTTGATATATAATTTGTTAAAAACAGACCAAAACTCACCAAGATACAAGCAAAAAGCAAAAACAAAAACTTGTTCTTTATAGGTTTTTTCATTGGCAATTTTAGGAAAACTTGCTGGGTTGCCTCAGAAATTTTACTTTTCTGGTACCTATTAGAATTTCCTAAACATCCAATAAGTTTATCTGAAGCTCATACACTTTTCCAAACTTTTCTAACTAGTCTAGAAACTTCTAAATTAAACAAATATTTTCGTAAAACATATTTAAGAATCTATTTTTAGAACAAAATGCCAACCTTGATAACAGTTGCACCTGATACCATTGATTTTAACTATTTTTATTAAAAGTGTCCTAAAAGTTTTGGTATTGGTATCCTTGAAGATACAGCTAATACATCATATTCTATCTCTGCAAACAAGCAACCAAATAATTGCTCAAACACAAAACTTAGAGAAGGAACTAAAACTTGTCATTACTTTAAAGCACCTGAATCTAGTTTTATTGTTAAATGTTTTTGTGACAAATTCTATACTCACTTTATCTCGACTACCAATCAAATTTATAAACAACATAAAGTTATTTCTACTAATAAAAAATCTAAAGACAAAAAATCTCTAACAAATAATATCACAAACTCCACTGAATTTATTCTGCCATCTCCTACAGCATCACCTTTATCCACTATACATAATCACCAATATGCAAAATGTAACTTGTCTATTACCTGTAAAGAAATGAACAACCAACATTATCTGGCAGCAGATGTAATTTTATATAATGACAAACCCTATTATAAAACATGTACAAATATCCAACAACCTAGTCAACAATCAAGCTCCTCACCTATATTCATTCAAAAACTCCAACAAATGATCAATTCCTACAACCCACTAGCATCCAAACTTATATTCACAACCTCACCCAATAACAACAATAATACTACAAATGACATGAACCTAGATAATAACATTATTAACAACAACAATTAACAACAATAATAACAACAATTTTTATATTAAAACCCACTTTATTCTAAAGAATAGCAACAACAATAGCAAGAAACAAACAAACAAAAGCAACAACAATTCCAAACCACTACTATTAACAATCAACAAAAAATCAAAGCCAATCTAATATTCGACTGACTTGCTAACTTTCCAATTTCTGATAACATAAAAGATAAATCACAACTCCAAACAGAATTCTCTAGAAAAATCTTCAATTTTCTTAAATCTTATTGTTAACCTACAAAAATAACCATACCTCTTAAACCACTAAACAGAATTCGATAAAACTACTACCATTCGAATCAGCTCACTAAGATGGTTCTAACAAGATATAGATCATCCATTTCCGATTACAGAATCACAAGATCAAATCCAATAACCAAATTAATAAGAAATCTGTGATCTGATTGGTTGATGATAACTGCGCAAAATATCATACATATAACATATATAACATTTATACATTTTGAAACATCTATATTTTATATTATCTTTAGTTTACATATATTATTTAGTTTATTTATTTTATTTATTTTATATATCAAACAT